GGCCGCCAGTAGTGGAGCACGCGTACTTAACCACTAAGCCACGTGGCTGGCCCCTGATTCAGCCATTTCAATCCTAAGGATTTACTCAAGACAAAAAAAAAAGGGCATGTATCCATACAAAGACTTACACATGAACATTCATAGCAATTTTATCTGTAATAAACCTGAACTGGAAACAGCCAGATGTCCATCATCAGGTGAATGGATAAACAAATTATGGTGTCCATACAATGTAATACTCAGCAATAAAAACGAACCACTGACACACAATAACATGGATGAATCTCAAAATAATGATGCTGAGTGAAAGAACCATTGTAACCGTGTAATTATATGATTCTACCTATAAAAGATTCTAGAAAATGCAAATGTATCTATAATGACAAAAACAGATCAGTTGTGGCCTGGGCGGTGGGGTTGGGGGAGGGATTGGAATTAATTAATTACAAAGGGGCATGATGAAATTTTTGGGGGTGACTGATATAATCATTATCTTGACTGTGGTAATGGTTTCACAGGTGAATAGAATAGAGATGTCACAGCTGATCAAATTGCACACTTCAAAATGTGTGCAGTTTATTGTATGCCAATAAAAATTATTTCATCACAGATTATCACTTTTTTTAAATAATTTTATTTATTTATTTTTTTCCCCCAAAGCCCCAATAGATAGTTGTATGTCATACAACTGCGCATCCTTCTAGTTGCTGTATGTGGGACGTGGCCTCAGCATGGCCAGAGAAGCAGTGCGTCAGTGTGCGCCCGGAATCCGAACCCGGGCCGCCAGCAGCGGAGCGTGCGCACTTAACCGCTAAGCCACGGGGCCGGCCAGATTATCCCTTTTTAATGTTTGTCTTTTCTATATCTTCTCACCCCCACCCTACTACATTTAACTTTGATTCTTTTTACATGAAACCTGAACTGCCCAAGAGAAAAAGCCAAACATGTCACTGGGATTATGCGTGCATGACCTTCTTTATGCTGTATTCTGACTGCCAAAGGGGTTTCCCCTCAGCATCAACTTTTGTTGAGGTCTCTTACTTCTTTTTAGTTCCAGGAGCAGTTTCCAACCCCTAGAAGGGCATCCATTTGCATAGTCTATTTCAGAAACTTCATCACCAGCGTCCCATTGCTAGTGGATATCCAGCATGAGGATGGTTTTCAAACCTCCAAACAACAGCCCTACTGTCAGAATGCCTTTCTATTCCTCTCCTCCTTTCTGGGCTGGGACATTGGAGTTGGGCCATGTTTAAAGCCCCAAGGATAAAAGCTGATTACAAAGATGCAGCCCCTCCCTACCCTTACAGTATCCTAAATCTCCAAGTTGAATCCCTATTCCAAATGGAGGATGTACCATGCCATCAAACGTTCATTGCTAGATAAAATCTAGATAGGGCTCTCCTTTCATTGATTTTGAGGAAGCCCTTACAATGTGTATGCTGGGGTCTTTTTTCATTTCAGAAAAGCTGTCTTTAATGATCTCTTTGATTACTGTTTCTATTCCAAGTATTATAGTTCCTCTTCAAAAATACATACAATTCTTTGGCTGAATCTCTGCTCTGTCCTCCACATCAACTACTTTCTCATTATATCCCTCTCTCCTTTTCCTCTGCATTCTAGGAGAGCTTTTCAAGTTTGTCATATAAATCACTGATTCTTAAAACTGGCAGGATATTACACCTCTAGAAGTATTAAAAATATAGATTCTGGACACAACTCTTAGAACTTCTGATTTGATGATCTGGGGTAGGACTCAGGAATCTTTTTTGTTGGCTTTATTTTTTGTTTTGTGTTTTACTGACTCTTGCAATTCTAGATTTGGGAAATATTGCTCAACATCACTACAACATTGGGGCTGGCCCCATGGCATAGCAGTTAAGTGCACGTGCTCCGCTGCTGGTGGCCAGGGTTCGGATCCCGGGCATGCACCGATGCACCACTTGTCAGGCCGTGCTGTGGTGGCGTCCCATATAAAGTGGAGGAAGATGGGCACAGATGTTGGTCCAGGGCCAGTCTTCCTCAGCAAAAAGAGGAGGATTGGCATGGATGTTAGCTTAGAGCTGATCTTCCTGACACACACAAAAAACAAACAAACAAAAAAAATCACTACGACATGTTAAGACTCTCTTCGCTATTTTCAATGTGGATTTGAGTTTTATTAGATTTGTTGTTTCCCTGAAATTCTTTCTTATTTCACTCTTAGCATTTTAATTTCATCTCATCTTTTGGCCTCTGACTGTCATCCTTTCATTTTAAAGTTTTCTCTCCTTATAGGTTTCTGATCCTATTACATAGATGCCATGCATATGTTCGTGCTTCCCTTGAAGATGCTATTCTGATCCCTATACAGTCATGTGCCACGTAATGACCTTTCGGTCAATGATGGACCAACATATAAGATGGTGGTCCCATAAGATTAGTACTGTATGGCCTAGGTGTGTAGTAGGCTATACCATTTAGGTTTGTGTAAGTACACTCTATGATGTTTGCACAATGATGAAATCACCTAACAACACATTTCTCAGAATGTATCCCCGTCATTAAGTGACACATGACTGTACCTTATTTTCATAAGGTTTTCTTTTTCTCTGAATCTTCAAAATGAAGTCCCCTTTCTCCTGTTATTTACTATTTTCATACTTATTTTCTGATTACATTTAGTTAACTTGAAGTGAGATAAAATCTCTTCTCAGACCTGATGTTTGCCAATGTACGTGTGGTTTGCTTTTGACTCTTCATTTGAATATTGGTTGATCTTTACCAACTTTTCCTCTGATGTTGAACAAACTTGGATTTTATGTAGAAACATCACTATGGATCTTACCAAGTCTTTAGCTTTGGTCTGTCAGTATACTGACTGGTTGAACAACTGTTTGGTCACACCTCTTGCCACATCCTGCTACTAGGGAATGAACTTCCAGGGTTGTCTGAGCTCCCTGGAAGGGGAATCAGTACTTGGGTAAGGATGGCTATATAAGATGTTCCTGATTCCATGAAACCTTGGGTACTTTCACAAGATTCTGCCATTGCCATACCTAGATTCCAAGATGACAGTGTTACTCTTTTAAGACTCTGGTCCAGGCATGGATGCAACAAAAGTTTCTATATCATGTTCTCCCTCAGCACATCTAAGAAAGCAAAGAATTTTCAAAATAGAAGACTTTAAAAAAAAAAAGAGGGGCCGGTCTGGTGGTGTAGTGGCTAAGTTCGTGCACTCTGCTTAGGTGGCCCAGGGTTCGTGGGTTCAGATCCCAGGCACAGACCTATGTCCCACTTATCAAGCCATGCTGCAGCAGGTGTCCCACATGTAAAGTAGGGGAGGATGGGCACGATGTTAGCCCAGGGCCAATCTTCCTCAGCAAAAAAAAGAGGAGGACTGGCAACAGATGTTAGCTTAGGGCTAATCTTCCTCACCAAAAAAGAAAAGAAAGAAAGAAGGAAAGAGAGGGAAGGGAAGGGAAAATACACACACATATACATACATACATACTGTACATACATGCATACACACACATACATCACTCTTCACATTGTGCTTACAGGCCCAGGAGAAAATATTACAAAACCAGCCAGTATTCACCTTCCTTAGCAGCTGAATTGCCTTTCTGAGCTCTCCTTTGGCAAAGCAAATCATGCCCATGTTATAAAAAGTATCAGCCACTCTTTTACTACAGTCACCATAGCTGATGACCTGAGACTTCAATGAAGACTTTAACAGTCTGTAAGCCTCCTAGGGGATTGAAAAAAAGAATTAAATCATGCTGGCAATTCTGAAGGAGCATGCCAGTGCTACTCCATGAGCTCTATGTAGGAGGCGTCCTACCGCACACTGACATAACCCACCAGGATCAGTCGGTTGTGATGGGTCGCCTAAGTAATTCGTTTCTATGAGGAGTTAAAATTCCAAGCTTATAATTAATAATAATAGTTAATTCATATGTATAATATTATTTAATCTTTATGGCTACCCTGTGAGACAGGAACTATTATTATACTCTTTTTATAGATGAAAGAATGGAGACTAATAAAAGCTAAGCATCTGGCTCAAGATCACACAGCCTATAGTTGGCAGTGACAGGATTCAAACCAGACAGTCTGAATTCCACAGCCCTTGCTCTTTTTTTTAAAACTACTTTTTATTTTTAAAAATTTCAAACATTCAGAGAAACTAAAAGAATAGTAGAATGAATACCCCTAATATTTTTACCTAGATTCACCAATGGCTATCATTTTGCCACATTTGCTTTATTGCACTCTCTCTAAAAAATTATATATATATATTATCTATATTATATATAATATTTTACATATATATAAATACATACACATATATATTTTAGTTGAAAATAAGTTGTAGTTAAGATACTTTACCCCTAAATAATTAAGCATGTATCTTCTTAGAACAAGGACATATCCTATATAACTACAATAACATTAGCACTCTCAATAAATTTTACAGTGATATACTACTACTAACTAATATATGCTCCATATTCAGATTTCCCAATTGTCCCCATAATGTTATTTATAACTTTTAAAAATCTAATATCCAGTCAAAAATCACATATTGCATTAAGTTTTCATGATTCTTTAGTCTTTTTTATCTGTAACAGTTCTCCTGCCCTTTCTCTTTCATAACACTGACATTTTTTAAAATCCAGGCCACTTGTCTTTGAGCCCAGCTCTCACTCTTAACTACTTACTATACAGCATATGATTTAGAGAAAAATTAAGTATATGTTGGAAGTTATTCATAGAACAACATTGCTATACTCATTTGACTTTCCAATGTGCTTTCTTTAGAGGGAGTGAAGAGATGTAGTTATGCTGGCATCCTCAAGAACTGCACCTCACCTTCTGCCTGCATTATCTATGTTGACATTTATAAACAGAACATTTCTCTGGAACTGGGTTGAATGTGTAATCATCATCCTTCACATGTGGCATGTGAACAAACAAAGATGTCAATTGCTGCTGCTTTCCAGGAAACATTGCCAATGATTCGGGAATCTCAAGGTTCTATATCATCTTTGCATTTTTCAGAATAGGAAAGCATGCATATAATTAGATTATTTTCCTGTCTGTTTTTTCAATGTACACGTCTTTCGCCTCATTGGGTAAGTTTACTCCTAAGTATTTTATTCTTTTTGATGATATTGTAAATGGGAGTGTTTTCTTAATTTCCTTTTTGGATTGTTCATTGTTAGTGTATAGAAATTAAACTGATTTTTGTATGTTGATTTGGTATCCTGCAATTTGGCTGAATTTGTTTATTAGTTCTAACAGATTTTTGGAAATCTTTAGAGTTTTCTACATGTAAGATCACGTAATCTGCAAACAGAAAAAATTTTACTTCTTCCTTTCCAATTTGGATATCTTTTATTTCTTTTTCTGGCCTAATTGCTCTGGCTAGCACTTCTAGTACTATGTTGACTAGAAGCAGCAAGAGTAGGCACCCTTGTCTTGTTCTTGATCTTAGAGAAAAAGCTTTCAGTTTTTCACCACTGAGTATGATGCTAGCTGTGGGCTTTTCATATATGGACTTTATTATTCTTTATGAAAGTTTTTATCATGAATATGTGCTGAATTTTGTCAAGTACTTTTTCTGCATCTTTGCCACGATCATGTGATTTTTATCCTTCATTCTGTTAATGTAATCTATCACATTGATTGTTTTTCCTATGTTGAAGCATTCTTGCATCCTAGGGATAAATTCCACTTGGTTGTGGTGTATGATCCTTTTACTGCACTGTTGAATTCATTTTGCTGGTTTGGTGAGAATTTTTGCATCTATGTTCATCAAGGATTTGTTTTGTAGTTTTCTTTTTCTGTAGTCTTTTTCTAGCTTTGTTGTCAAGGTAATGCTAGCCTCATAAAATGAGTTTGGAAGTACTCCTTCCTCTTCCATTTTTTGGAAGAGTTTGAGGAGGACTGGAGTTAATTCTTCTTTAAATATTTGGTAGAGTTCACCAGTGAAGCCATCTCATCCTGGGCTTTTCTTTGTTGGGAGGTTTTTTTGATTACTTATTCAATCTCCTTACTAGTTATAAATCTGTTCAGATTTTCTATTTCTTCATAGTTCAGTCTTGGTAGGGTGTATCTTTCTAGGAATTTATCCATTTCTTCTAGGTTATCCAATTTATTGGAGTATAGTTGTTTATAGTAGTTTCTTATAATCTTTCTAATTTCTGTGGCATCAGTTGTAATGTTTCCTCTTTCATTTCTGATTTTATTTTTTTATTTAATTTTTTAATTTTTTAATTTTTTTTTTTTTTGTGAGGAAGATCGGCCCTGAGCTAACATCCATGCTAATCCTCCTCTTTTTGCTGAGGAAGACTGGCTCTGAGCTAACATCTATTGCCAATCCTCCTCCTTTTTTTTCCCCCCAAAGCCCCAGTAGATAGTTGTATGTCATAGTTGCACATCCTTCTAGTTGCTGTATGTGGGACGCGGCCTCAGCATGGCCAGAGAAGCGGTGCGTCGGTGCGCGCCCGGGATCCGAACCCGGGCCGCCAGTAGCGGAGTGCACGCACTTAACCACTAAGCCACGGGGCCGGCCCCTCTGATTTTATTTATTTGAGTCTACTCTCTTTTTTTTCTTATTTAATCTAGCTATTCACGGGGAAGAGGTTCCAGTAGCTCAGGCTCCTTTCATTGGTTCTCACAAAGTGTGCTTCTGTGGGTGGAACAGGCTAGCTCTTCAGTTGAACACAGGTACCTTTCTGTTTGGCTTCCTTCTTTTTCTGATCATTTTCCTTCATGCATTTCAGGAATTTATCTCGGCTCTTAGAATGCTTAATATGCTTAACATGTACATTAATTCTCTTGGCTAGAACCTTGCCCTTAACTTATTTATTTACAACACTGCCAACAGCATGCTGGGTAACACTGTTGACCCTTCCAATTTTGCCATGGTAACATTTGTGGGGCATTCCTTTTTGAACAATGTGCATTCCCTTACCATTTACAATATCACCTGTCTTATAGATTCCCATATATGTGGCCAAAGAGAAATAACTCCATGTTTTCTAAAAGGCCTAGCTAGACGACATACAATGGGTGCCTCTCCTCTTTCCCTCTGTGTTTGTCATTTTGAAGAAGTACTGGAAGATGGCAGTTCTGGCCAATGGATCCTGTTTATTTTTATCAGTGGCAGATTAAACCTCTATTTGCCAAAAAAAAAAAAATTATGTCCATGGGATCCCAATTCCCAAGTCTTCTGAGTTTCTGTTATGATCCTCTGGAACAAGCCTGGAGGCTCATATCAGGCTTAAGGGTGGGAGAAAAAGCTCCTTTTAAAAATGAATTGTCCTACAGGAAATGTGTTATAAAATTCAGCAAATTAATTCAATAGTTATTGAGCACCTATCATGGGCCACTCACTATTTCAGGCACTGGGGACACCATAAGTGAATGAAACAGACAAAAACCCTTGTCCTCATGGAGCTTGTTTTCTAGTGGTAAAGGTGACCGGTCCTTAGTCCTGCCTCTTGTTTAGATTCAGAGCCACCTGGCACTCAGATGCTTGCTCATCTTTGTCCAGGAGCTTGGTATGCTTGGTTAGAAGCAGAAGGCCGTCAGCCATTGGTACTGGTGTCTTATCACAAAGTCATGACATTCATTGTACTAAACATAACAAGGATAAGCTATGACATTCTGGCAAAGTACTTCCACATCGTTGAAAATAAAATTAAAATATTAGATCAATCTGTGGTGCTGAGATCTCATGTTAATCTTCTGAACCAACAGAAAATATCATGGCCACAGTAAAAAATGTTGCAAACCACTATAAGGTTTTTGCCTTTACAAGTGGTAATTAAAGTAGACTAAAGAACATGTCATCATTTATAAAAATGTTCAAATATGGAATAAAGAAGCTTTTTCTTCATTCCTGGAAAAAATTCTTCCTTACTGTGTGCCTATAACCCTACTCTTAAACTGGGCAACAAGACCATATCAGGTCTATACATGTTTATCACTTGCTTGAGGAAGTATAAAGTTGGCTTGGTCAGATCAAAGTCATGTGGGATCTCATGATGGATAAAGGTCTTCACTGCATTCACGCTGTACTCAATATATACAGTTCAGGTCAAAAGTTTTTGAGTAATAGCTTAGACTCCTGGGACTTCTAAGTGAGGTCAGCAATAAAGAGCATATTCTATAACTTTTTTTAAATGTGAAAACAAAATTTTGGCTAATAAAGAGCTGAAGACCAGAAACTGAGAGGGAAATAATATTTCAAGAGAAAAAAACTCAGCAGCTAGATCCAAAGGTGAAAGCCAAATTTGACTTAAAATATTAAATTTACAGTGGCCAGTCCGGTGGCTTAGCGGTTGGGTTCACGCAGTCCACTTCGACGGCCTGGAGTTCACGGGTTTGAATCCCAGGTGCGGACCTATGCACTGCTCATCAGGCCACATGTGGTGGCATCCCACATACAGGCGGCATCCCACAAGAGGAAGATGGGCATGGATGTTGGCTCAGAGCCAATCTTCCTCTCACACACACACACAAAAATTAAATTTACAGGGCCAGAGATTATGTGTGTCCTGGATTTGAAGGACCTTGTGTATCAAGATGCAAGAAAAATACCTTTTTTTACTAATATTGCAAGCTGTACCAGCCCTATTTTTACTCGTGGCTTTACCTGGGACTTCCCTGAGCTCCAGTTTTTGAACTATGAGATGAAAAGCCTGTCCCAATCTAATTGAACAAACAATTACGTTTTTGAGTTGATAATATTTACCTGTTTTTCCCCATTTTGGACAAGCCATTTGCAAAATTCTTCAATGGTTGTCAGTGTTTCACAATCCTCTGGGCCCAATGTTGTTTGATACACACTGATGCTTTTTATAAAATATACTTCAACAGCATCTGCAAAAAAGGGAAACAATTATTGAAGGCAAGCTGCTAGCCCTTACAAGTGTATAATTTCAGCTTTGGCTCAAATAATTAGACATTTTCATGCTTAAAGTCCATGCCTGTCCTCATGTCAGTTCTCATAAGCAGCCTCAAAAAAGTCTGAAATATGGCTTGATGGCATCAGATGATCTGATTTTATTCTCTTGATGAAATGCATGGATTTTCTGTAGGAAAAGAAAGCTTATGTCTGAACAGTTTTATCCTAAGACCCAAAATAACCACCATATTAAACTCCCAGGTGTAATGCAAGACTATATTTTTAGCTAAATTAGAGTCTGATAGAGATTGCTGTTTACTGGGCTCCCAGTTTAGTGTGTATATGTGTGTTTGTGTGCGGGCTGGGGGAAGAGAGAGTTTTGGTTTTAAAAGTACTTTATTTTATTTATTTATTTTTTTTTAGAGATTTTATTTATTTATTTTCCCCCCAAAGCCCCAGTAGATAGTTGTATGTCATAGCTGCACATCCTTCTAGTTGCTGCATGTGGGACACGGCCTCAGCATGGCCGGAGAAGCGGTGAGTCGGTGCGCGCCCGGGATCCGAACCTGGGCCGCCAGCAGCGGAGCGCACACACTTAACCACTAAGCCACAGGGCCGGCCCAAAAGTACTTTAAATATATAGTTGTTATTGTTTAAAAATTTACTTTTAGATGTTGTCTTTTACTCCAAACGTAATCAATCTGGAAAATGCAGAGAAGCAAAAATAAAATGAAAATTATCTCCATACACATCACTCAGGAACAGGCATTGTTAACATTTTTTTTACCACTGTATTAAGATATAATTTATTCACATTCACCCATTGTAATTGTACAACCTGATGAAGTTTTAGTAAATTCATATATAGTTATGTAATCATGATCAAAATCCAGTCAGAACATTTCCCTCACCCCCACAATGTCTCTTCACGGCTGGTTGCAGTCAATGCCTGCTCTCATCCTCAGTCTCAGGCAATCTCCGATCTGCTTTCTTTCTCTCTGTATTTGCCTTTTCTAGAAATTTCATATAAATGGGTTCATACAATATGTAGTCTTTTGAGGCTGGATTCTTTCACATGGCTTACTGTTTTTGAGGTTCATCCATGTTGTTTCATGAATCAGTACTTCCTTTTTATTGCTGAGTAGTGTCCTATTGTATGGATATACCACATTTGGTTTACACATTCACAGGTTGATGAATATCTGTGTATGTGTGTATAGTCTATTATATTCATCCACATACTTATTAGTTCCAATTCTCTTCATTCCTTTCTGCGGATTTGAGTCACCATCTGCTGACATTTTCTTTCAGCCTAAGGGCCCCCTTTAGTATTTCTTTTAGGGCAAGACTGCTACCCACAAATCCTCTCTGGTTTTCCTTATCAGGAAATGTCTTTATCTCATCTTCATTTCTGAAGGATAGTTTTGCTGTATATACAATTCTTCACTGAATTTTATTGCAATATTTTTTGAATATATTATTCCACTACCTTCCAGCCTCCATTATTCTGATGAAAAATCAGCCATTAATGATATTGTTGTTCCCCTATATTGAGTTGTTTTTCCACTGCTGCTTTTAAGATTTTCTCTGTCATTCAGCAGTTTGACTATATCTCTAGTTGTGGTTAACTTTGTGCTTACCTACTTGGCATTGAGACTTTTGGATCTGCAGATAACATTTTCTTCAAATTTGGGGAGCTTGGGCCATTATTTCTTTAGATAATTTTCTGCCTCATTCTGTCTCCTCTCTTTCTAGAGCTCCCATTACTTGAGCATTGGTACACCTGATGTTGTCCCACAGATCTCTTATGCTCTGTTCATCTTTCTTCAGTCTCCCTTCTCTCTGTTCTTTGGATTAGATCATTTCTAGTGACCTACCTTTGAGCTACTCATTCTCTTTTCTTCCATCTCACATCTGATGTTGAGACCATTAAAAAATTTTTCATTCGGTTACTATATTTTACAACACTAGAATTTCCATTTGACTGGTTTTAAAAAATAGTTTATATTTCACTATTGAGATTTCCTATTTGCTAAGTAATTTTCATCATATTTTCTTTTAATTCTTTGAACAGTTTCCTTTAATTCTTTGAACACATTTATGATAGCTGCTTTGAAATCTTTCCTAAATCCAACATCTAGCCCACTTAAAGTTAATTTCTTTGACTGCTGTTTTTCTGAGTATGAGCCATGGGTTCTTGTTTCTTTGTATTATCTCTTTTTTTTGTTGAAAACTGTACATTTTAGATACTATATAGGAGCAACTACAGATTTTGATATATTTTTGTGGGCTTTTTTCCCCCAGTAAATTCCCTAGACTTAAACTGCAGAATCCAGTAAATTGCCTAGACTTAAACTGCAACATCATCTCCCCCATGGTGTTTGGATGCTAATGTCTTTGCTCTGTTGTTGTTGTTATTTTTAATAGACTTTATTTTTTCTAGCAGTTTTACATTCACAGCAAAATTGAGTGGAAGGTAGAGAGATTTCCCATATAACCCTGCCCCCATATATGCACTTCTGATGGTTAATTTTATTTGTCAACTTGACTGGGCTAAGGGATGCCTAGATAGCTGATAAAACATAATTTCTGGCTGTGTCTGTGAAGGTGTTTCTGAAAGAGATTAGCATTTGAATCCGTATACTGAGTAAAGAAGATTTGCTCTTACAAACATGGGCAAGAATCATCCAATCCATTGAGGACCAACCTCCTCCTTTATCCAATGATAAATTCTCTCTCTCTCTTCTTGAGCTGGGAAATCCATCTTCTCCTGCCCTCAGACATCGGAGCTCCTGGTTCTTGGGCCTTTGGACTCCAATACTTACATGAGTGGCCCCCTGATCCTCCAATTTTCAGGGCTTTCGCCTTGGACTGGGACTTATACCATTGGTTCTCCTCGTTCTCAGGCCTTTGGACTCAGACTAAATTATACCACCAGCTTTCCTGGTTCTTCAGCTTGCAGATGTTAGATTGTGGTACTTCTCATCCTCCATAACCATGTAGGCCAATTTCTATAATAAATATCCTCTTATATCTATCTATCTACATATCCTATTGGTTATGTTTCTCTGGAGAACTCTGACTAATACAGATTTTGGTACCAGGAGTGGGCTCAACAACATGGACTTCCACTTACCAAGCCCAGCCTGGTAATGGCCACCACTAAGTGCCCAATCTGCCAGCAGCAGAGACCAACACTGAGCTCCTGATATGGTAACCTACCCTAGGTGATCAGCCATCTACCTGGTAGCAGGTTGATTACATTGGACCACTTCCATCATGGAAGGGACAGTGTTTTGTCTTTACTGGAATAGACACTTACTCTGGATACAGATTTGCCTTCTCTGCATACAATGCTCTGCCAAAACTACCATCTGTGGACTTACAGAATGCCTTATCCACCATCATGGTATTCCACACAGGATTGCTTCAGATCAAGGAACTCACTTCACAGCCAAAGAAGTGCACCAGTGGGCCCATGCTCATGGAATTCACTGGTCTTACCATGTTCCTCACCACCCTGAAGCAGCTGGCCTGATAGTGCAGTGGAATGGCCTTTTGAAGACTCAGTTACAGTGCCAGCTAGGTGGCAGTACTTTGCAGGGCTGGGTCAAGGTTCTCCAGAAGGCTGTATATACTCTGAATCAGTGTCCAGTATATGGTGCTGTTTCTGCAATAGCCAGGATTCACAGTTCAGGAAGCAAGGGGTAGAAATGTGAGTAGCACCACTCACTATTACCCCTAGTGACCCACTAGGAAAATTTTTTCTTCCTACTCCCACAACTTTATGCTCTGGTTGCCTAGAGGTCTCAGTTCCAGAGGGAGGAATGCTTACATCAGGAGACAAAACAATAATTCCATTGAACTGGCAGTTAAGACTGCTACCTGGCCACTTTGGCTCCTCCTGTCTCTGAATCAACAGACAAGGAAAGGATTTACAGTGCTAGCTGGGGTGACTAACCTGACTACTAAGGAGAAATTGGACTACTACTCCCCAGTGGAGGTAAGGAAGAATATGTCTAGAATACAGGTGATCCCTTAATACTTCTCTTAGTATTACTATGCCTTGTGATTAAGGTCAGTGGAAAACCATAACATTACAATCCAGGCAGGATTAGTAATGGCCCAGAACTTTCAGGAATGAAGGTTTGGGTCACCCCACCAGGTAAAGAACCAATACCAACTGAGGTGCTTGTTGAAGGCAAAGGGAATACAGAATGGGTGGTAAAAAAAAAAAAAAAAAAGGTAGTTATAAATACCAGCTATGACCATATGATCAGTGACAGAAATGAGGACTGTAATTGTCATGAGTATTTCCTCCTTATTTTGTTATGAATATGTTTGTGTGTATATATACACATATAAGCACAGATCTTTGTTTTCTTTCCTCTTTTATTCCCTTATCATGTAACATAAGATGTATTGACTTTATATAAATATTTAAGTATTGTTAATTTTACATCATAGTTTTCAAGTGATGGGATATCAGGAGAAGAGTAAACATCATTGAAGGACTTTATTTCCTCTTCTGGGGAAGGGATTAGTGCATTTTCTGTTGTACCCAGGATAGTTGTATCATGTTAGGCAAAATTATGACCTTGTTATTGTCTTTATTTCGAGATTATGTTTAAGGAGATGCATATAGGTATCAAGTTGACAAGGAGTGGATTTGTGGTGGTTAATTTTGTGTCAGCTTGACTCTTTGACTGTCCAAATAGCTGGTAAAATATTATTTCTTAGTGTATCTACGAGGGTGTCTCCAGAAGAGATTAGCATCTGAATCAGTAGACTGAGTAAAGAAGATCTGCCCTCACCAATGTGGGTGGGCATCATTCAATCCATTGAGGACCCAAATAGAACAAAAAAAGGTAGAGGAAGGGTGAAGTCTCTCTCTTCTTGAGCTGGGAGATCTATCTGTTGCCCGTGGATATCACATAATTGTTTTAATTCCCAGTCTGATAATTCCAACATCCCT